AATCTCCAGCCAGCCATGGCAGGCCTTGCATTTCATCATGTTCTATACCACATGGAGGAGTTGGGTATAAGCTGGCATCTGGGAAAAGAGAGCAAGGCTTCGAATGGCCAGAAGAAACTCCTAGCTATGCAAAAATCACACACACACACACACACACACATGCAAAAATCACACACACACACATGCAAAAATCACACACACACACACACACACACACACCTTAACAGGAGTCAGGTGCCAGTGGCTCACACCTATAATCCTAGCTACTCAGGAGGCTCAGATCTGAGGACTGCAATTTGAAGCCAGCTAGAGTAGGAAATTCTGTGAGACTCTTATCTCCAATTAAACACTTAAAAAAAAAAATACCCAACAAGAACAGAAAAGCCAGAAGCAGAGCTGTAGTTCAAATGGTGGAGCACCAGCCTTGAGCATAAAAGTTTAAGGACAGCATCCAGGACCTGAGTTTAAGCCCTTGGACAGGCACGCACACACATGTGTGCACGCACACACACATACTTCTTATCAAAACTAGTCAAAATTTCTCAAGGTCCAGTTTGAATTTTTTTTTTTTTGCCAGTCCTGGGGCTTGAACTCAGGGCCTAGGCACTGTCCTGAGCTTCTCTTGCTCAAGGCTAGTGCTCTACTACTTGAGCTGCAGTGCCACTTCCAGATTTGTCTCTGTATGTGGTACTGAAGAATGGAACCCAGGGCTTCATGCATGCAAGGCAAGCACTCTACCACTAAGCCACCTTCCCAGCCCCAGTTGGAATTTCTTTCTTTTTTTTTTTTACACTACCAGAACACCATTAAACTATTTTTAATTAGGCTAATAAAAGTACAGTGATTATGAATGTGCCTTGTCCAGTAGGGAATATAACTACGGTCACCAGTCCAATGATGTGCACAGTGTCTTCAATTAATGCACTTGAGCATAATTATGTTTCTGGCAGGGTCCACACCCCCATGACCCAGTTTGAATCTCTTGAAGCTGTCTATCTTGATGCTTGGTAATCAATATTGTCCAAAGAATGTGACTGGGGATGAGAAAGTGGCTCAGTGGTAGAGCGCTTGCCTCTCACATGCATGAGGCCCTGGGTTCGATTCCTCAGCACCACATAAACAGAAAAAGCCGGAAGTGGGTACTGTGGCTCAAGTGGTAGAGCACTAGCCTTGAGCTGAAGAGCTGAGGGACAGAGCCCAGGCCCAGAGTTCAGGTCCATGACCGACAAAAAAAAAAAGAGAGAGAGAGAGAATGCAATTAGCTTAGCTGGATGCTGGCGACTCATGCCTGTAATCCAAGCTACTCAAAAGGCTGAGAACTGAGGATCATTGTTTGAAGCCAAGCTATGTAGAAAAGTCTATGAGACTCTTATTTCCAATTAACTACCCAAAAGCTGGACGTGGAGCTATAGCTCATGTGGTAAGGCACTAGCCTTGAGCAAAAAAAGCATAGGGCTGGGTGTCAGTGGCTCACGCCTGTCATCCTAGCTACTCAGGAGGCTGAGATCTGAGGATCACAGTTCAAAGCCAGCCCAGGCGGGAACATCCCTGAGACTATCACCAATTAACCACCAGAAAACCAGAAGTGGTGCTGTGGGTCAAGTGGTACACTAGCCTTGAGCTGAAGAGCTGAAGAACAGCACCCAGGCCCAGAGTACAAGACCCTTGACTGACAAAAACAAAGCAAACAAAAAAAACAAAAAACAAAAACCATAGGGACAGCACCCAGGCCGTAAGTTCAAGCCCCAAGATGCACACACACACACACACACACACACACACACACACACACACACACAGAGTAATTAATAATAATCCAATCAATGGGCAATGGCATTGTTTTGGCATTACTCTAAGCTTATGAAGAGTTTTCTATTGATATCCTGATTATGTCACTACCAAGTTATATTTCTCTGTACCTTTCAATGGGGCCTGTTCTGTACAAAGCTTCTTTCCAGCCAAACATTGAGAACCAGTGTCTGCTCTCAAACACCTAATGAAAAGGGTATTTGTGTTAAAAAAAAATAAATCTTATCAATGAGAAGTACATTTAAAAACACTTTTCTCAAAGTTCTATTTCATGATGAGTTCTGTCTGAAGAGTTTCTGGGTGTGAAATTACACAGGCCTCCTCAATGACACAATCCTGCTTGCCAAGCACAAAGATTCTGCTCTTAAACCTCAAGACAAAATAAACACAGAAGCAGCTCAGAAAAGGACACTTCTACAGGCATTAGGTAAAAGACTTTTATTTCTTATTTAACCATGCTGCAGATATACATACAATAGTGATATATACACTTGAACAAATACAATTTATATTTGAAATATAACAGAAGTGTGGCTTTTGAAAAGAACACAATGAACTCATTGCATGATTTCTAATTTTGGCCAGTATACAGTATTGTAGTAATGTTATTGAAGCTTTAAATGATTTAGACTCTAGTATAAGTTCAAAGGCACTAAGAAATCTGTTTTCTTCTAGTATTTTAAGGACAAAGAATAATTAAAAGGAAAAACAGATGTATATATTAAAAACTGGGCAGATACTGATATGTTTAAATGTAAACTCTACCCATTCCTTAATTCACAGCCCTGTAGGAAAGAGGGGCTTTGTAAGAGTTAAGGGGAAAGATATTAAAAACAGACTAAAAGAAGAACAAAACAAAACAAAACAAATTTCCAGGCACTGGTGGCTCTTGCCTGTAATCTTAACTACTCAGGAGGCTAAGATCTGAGGATCACAGTTCAAAGCCAATGCTGGCAAAAAAGTCCCGGTGAGACTCCTATCTCCAGATAACCACCAGAAAACCAGAAGTAGAACTGTGGCTCAAAGTGATAGAGCACTAGTCTTGAGCTAAAAGTGGTCAGGGACAGCACCCAGGCCCTGAATTCAAGCCCCATAACTGACAAAACAAAAACAAAAAGAAAACAAATAAATCCCAAACCATAATTAAAAAAAACACATTGCAGATAAAGTATTACTCATACTCCCACAGAGTAATATTCTTTGCTTTAAAAAGGTCCTTTTTTCAGAAAGTGAGTTTGTCAAATAGATCCCTGGACTTAATTAATTAATCTTAAGTTCTTAATTAACCATCCCAAGAATTTATACCAAAAAAGGGAATATTATTATATTTTAGTGGCCTATTTGTCCATGCAATTACATAGTTTATTGAAGAACACACTACAGAACCCAACAACATTCGACCAAAATTCCTCTTAATAAATAAATATTACCATTTAAATTAAAGAAAAACACTTATCAATAACCTATTTATATGAATGTACCATTCATTTCAAATCTGCACATCTATTTCAAACATAGAACAAATTCACTTATCTAAACCATTCATGAAAACAATACTGAAGTTACTAATAGTTCATTTGTGGACAGAGACATAACAATGTGAAGAAGCCACAGAGCTGCTACAATTCATTAGAGCTAAATGAATACTATAGTTTTTAAATGGATCTCCAGGCCTGGCTCAAATACCTAATTTTGGTATTTCAATAAAAATGAATAATTCATTTCTATCTAGTATAATCAGTTCTAACATAAATATTTAAAACAAAATTACTGCTGGGCATGCTGGTGCAGGTCCTGAAATCCCAGTGCTTGGGAGACTGAAGCAGAAGGGCTGTGAGGTCAAGACCAGACTGGGCTATATATCAAGAACCTGACTCAAAACCAACCAAACGAACAGAAACAAACCAACAAACAAAAACAAAATGATTTCTGAAGTAGGCTGTTCAAATTTCTTGATATTTTTACTCTTATTTTTGAAATTTGCACCAAAGACACTTAGAAAAAAATAATCTAGCCTACTGGCTCACATTTCTCTGATGTTTTAAATAATTCACAAACTACTCCTTTCTTGTTAAATCAATTGTTAACATAAACCAGAAACATGGAATTTTTTTCTACGGCGAAAACTAAGATCTCTGAACAGCAACAGAATTAAATGTGTATCATCAAAAATGTTTACAACTAGCCAGGTGCTGGTTGCTCATGCCCGTAATCCTAGCTACTCAGGAGGCTGAAATCTGAGGTTCATAGTTCTAAGCTAGCCTAAGTAGGAAAGTCCATGAGAATGGAGCTATGGTTCAAAGTGGTGGAGATGCTAGCTTTGAGCAACTAGCTAGCTCAGGAACAGTGCCCAGGCCCTGAGTTCAAGCCCCACAACTGACCAAAGGAAAAAAAAAGAGAACGAATGAACGAAAGAATGAAAGAAATGAGAAAGTAAGTAAGTAAGTTTACAATTACAAGATATTCTGCTCATATAAACCCTTTACAAGACACATAACCATGTCAAGTCTTCACAGGGCCTACACAGGGCTCCACAGAGAATAGTTATAACTTCTATCATACATACCACTAGGAAAATAATGCTACTGAAATACAATCCTAATTATCCCGCAAATACTCACTACACACATACATTTAGTACTGTACATAGTTGAAGTTTATGGACATTTTCACCATCTCATTCACCCCTATGCTATACACAGCTCTGTAATTACAAACCAATATTTATCTAAACTTGTTATAATGAGATGTAGTAAATCCTAACTGTAAAGTCTCAAAACCTTTGCAATCTATGTGTTTGGAACTGATCATATAATATTAAACTGACAAAACATAATACTAAGTGGTTCAAGAGTAAAATAACTCTTACAAAACAACAAAAATACCTATTACAACGTATTTTACTATGAATATAATTTCACTTTGAGAAGTCTAACTGGGTTAATTAACAAAAAAATCAGGGAAGAATTATTTCTTTTTTATAAAAAATAAAATAAGGGCTGGGAATGTGGCTTAGTGGTAGAGTGCTTGCCTAGCATGCATAAAACCCTGGGTTCTATTCCTCAGTACCATATCAACAGAAAAAGCCAGAAGTGGCACTGTGGCTCAATTGTCAGAGTGCTAGCCTTGAGCAAAAGAGGTTCAGGGATAGTCCCCAGCCCTTGAGTTCAAGCCCCAAGACTAGCAAAAAAAAAAAAAATGTTTTAAAGGCAAAAGATTAAAAAGCTGTCTTTCTGTTTGACTATGCACATTCTCAACTTCTGTTGGTTCTTATTTTGAAGAGGTGGGATCTAGGGTTGTAGGAAAACACTTTACAACTTGAGCCAATTTTCGCACTCTACAACTTGAGCCATATTTTCAGCCTTCAACTTTGGTTTTTACAAGACTGACTTTTTGAATTATAAAATGTTCTATGGGAGTTCAAAAAATCAGCCATTTCAGCCTTACAATACAGAATGTTATTATAGAATTGTAGAGTACTTTAACAGGCCAATCGGATCAACGTTTGGACAGAGCTATTTTTTAGATGTGTATGTAGCTCAAATATTCACATAGAACAGTGCAACCCAGGAAAATTGTATCTGCTATTTTCTATGTGCAAAACAGGACACACTTTTGTTTTTTTTTTCTATTTTGAAATTTGTTTTCTAAATATACAGTAGTTGAGTAAATAGCTAACAGATTTACACAGCCACTGAAACTCTCCATGAGAACTGCTCACCTAACTTGCTGGCTTAGTCTAGTTGAAGAGGAGTATAACAGATTAAACACTCACCAGTTGTACAACTTTAATATCTGATATTAGAATATATGGTCTACAAGGTATTAGGCAAATTGTTATTTCCAGTCTTACTCCATGATTTACAGCTTCCACTATTTGAAATCACACAGAAGTCTTCACGGTTTTAATTAAAGAGTTTGTCCAGGCATGAGAATATCACTAATTTTTATTGTGACTTTTAAGTCTGTAACATTTACTTAAGTAAAGAATCGATTACGGCCTCAGGTTTTGCAGAACGCTTTCTGTTTGGAGAAGAGAAAAAGAAAACATGAGTGCTTTCCCAAAAGGCTGAAATACAAATACTTTATTCTGTAGTTGCAAATACAAAGTGCTCCCCGGTATAGATGTAGGCTAGTGTTCCACATATTTGTCCACCCCGGTATAGATGTAGGCTAGTGTTCCACATATTTGTCCAAGATTAATAAGTGGTCACTTTTTCAGGGGAGGAGAAGGTCACTGAGAATGGGTAGAAGACAATGCCTCCAGTATGCCAAGTAGGAATTAGACAAATGGTAACTTCCAAATTGGCCTAGCCAAGAGAGCAAGACTAAGTGAGCTACATGTTAACCAACTGAATCCCTTGATAACCGCATCTGGGTATGTGTGTACAGGTGGATTCAATAAAAGATGGAGGGGCTGGGGAGGTGGCTCGGTGGTAGAAAGCTTGCCTTGCATGCATGAGGCCCTGGGTTCGATTCCCCAGCACCACTTAAGCAAAAAGAAAAAAGCCGGAAGTGGCGCTGTGGCTCAAGTGGTAGAGCGCTAGCCTTGAGCTAAAAGAGCTGAGGGACAGCACCCAGGCCCAGAGTTCAGGCCCCACAACCAGACAAAAATAAAATAAAATAAAATAAAATAAAATAAAATAAAAGATGGAGACCCAAATCATCTGATGTAACAGGTCATAAATGTCTCCGTAGAGATTGATGGAGATGCTGTTGGATATACTGCAGTCTTGCCCAGCATGTTGAATTATGTGTTTCTCATAACGAATACCACATTGAACATATCATGTAATATAATATAGTATCAAGGAACTATTTATTAACTGGGTGCTAGGGCTCACGCCTGTAATCCTAGCTACTCAGGAGGCTGAGATACGAGATTGCAGTTTGAAGCCGACCTGGGCAGGAAAGTCCATGAGACTATCTCCAATTAATCACCCAAAAGCTAGAATTGGAGCTGTGGTTCAAGTAGTGGAGTGCTAACCCTGAGCAAGCTAAGAGACGGGCGAGAGTGAAGAGAGGGGTGACACTGTCTGAAAAGAACTGTCCTCTTTACTTGACTTAGAGAACAGTAACTCCTCTGTATACCCTCTTAATAAGAACAATAAAATTATATTAAAAACAAACAACACTAACAGACAGTGGCCAGGCCCTGACTTCAAGCTCCAGGACTGGCACACAAAAAAAATTATTGTATATGTTTGCTATCTACATTTTTCATAATACAGTAGGCAAATTCTAACCTATGGAGATGCTGGGTCTAGCTCATATACTGTTGGCCTACACATATTCTTGGGGGGTCCGGTCGTGGGGCCTGAACTCTGGGCCTGGGCACTGTCTCTCAGCTCTTCAGCTCAAGGCTAGTGCTCTACTACTTGAGCCACAGCACCACTTCCGGCTTTTTTTTTCTTTTCTGCGTATGTGGTGCTGAGGAATCGAACCCAGGGCCTCATGCATGCAAGGCAAGCGCTCTACCACTGAGCCACCTTCCCAGCCCCCCTACACATATTCTTTTTAGGTGAAACTCAACAAAAGTAGTACACTGGCTTAAAGTGAGCACTATGGAAGCTGTATCCAAACTTCCAATGTTTTGTTTCAAGTCTACAAAGTTAAACATCTATGTTCAACAAGAAGTGTACTTAAGGGCTGGGAAGGTGGCTCAGTGGTAGAAAGCTTGCCTTACATGCATGAGGCCCTAGGTTCGATTCCTCAGCACCACATAAGCAGAAAAAGCTGGAAGTGGCGCTGTGGCTCAAGTGGTAGGGCACTAGCCTTGAGCTGAAGAGCTGAGGGACAGTGCCCAGGCCCAGAATTCAGGCCCCATGACCGACAAAAAAAAAAAAGGACTTAACTGTACATTAATTGTAACACCTCTGTATATCACCTTTATAATAAAATAAAATTAAAAAAAGAATCATCTCTCAAAAAGCTGAAAGATCTCATATGGGTAATTTGGATTTCTGACTTCTCTTTAGAAAAGAGCAGATCCAGCCAGGCATCAGGTGGGTCACACCTGTAATCTTAGCTACTCAGGAAGCTGAGAACTGAGGATCACGGTTCAAAGCCAGCCTGGGCAGGAAAGTCCTCAAGATTCTTATCTCCAATAAACCACTCAGAAAACCGGGGCTGTAGCTCAAGTGGCAGAGCACTGGCCTTGGGCTGAAGAGCTGAGGGATAGCGCCCAGGCCCAGAGTTCAAGCCCCACGACCGACCAACCAAAAAAAAAAGAAAAAAGAAAAGTACAGATCCAACAATGAGCCCTCTCTCTACTCCCTGAACTAACCAGAAACAGAATGGCAGCCTCCCCCCACTTTAGACCGCACTGCTCCCCTTCTCCTGCCTAGGTTTCTCCTGTACTTGGGTCAGCTGCCTCAACATTTAATATCACACCTGAACTTTCCTTTTTCTCACCAACTACAGAACTGAGGTGAAAGTATCTCTATTCAAAGTAGAAAAGTAAAAGATAAGGGCTGGGAAGGTGGCTCAGTGATAGAGCGCTTGCCTTGCATGCATGAGGCCCTGGGTTCGATTCCTCAGCACCACATAAGCAAAAAGAAAAAAGCTGAAAGTGGTGCTGTGGCTCAAGTGGTAGAGTGCTAGCCTTGAGCTGAAGAGCTGAGGGACAGTGCCCAGACCCAGAGTTCAGGCCCACGACTGGACCCCCCCCCCAAAAAAAAGAAAGAAAAAGAAAAGTAAAAGATAGATTTAAAAGCTTGTTTCTTCAAATTGATCTGCTTCATTGCTTAATATGACACATGTACCTTCTGTTCGTATGTAAAAATGTTTCGTTTTGTTTTTTACGTTTTTTTCTTTTTATTGTGAAAATACTGTACAGAGGGGTTACAATTACATGGGCAAGATAATGAGTACATTTCTTATCAAGCATTGTAACCTCCTCCTTTGTTTCCCCTTCCCATCCTCCCCCCTCCCCACACCCAATCCTCCCCGCCCCCTCTATGTAAAAATGTTAACCCTTCATCTAAACGTTAACCAAAGCAAAAATGTATATCCTTATAATAGGTTTTTTTTAAATGTATATACTTTTAATATACAACAGATTCTCCCTACTTTTAAACTTTCTCAAATTTGTAAATTTGTATTATCTATTAGCTTGTGCCACACAAAAAAATACAACTTCACCTACATCTAACTCAAAAGTACATAAACTCAAAATATGGAAAAAAGATGATTTCTACTATTTCAGGAGCTCCAAAGTCTTGTAATCAGCTTAAATACATAAGACAGAACTTCATGTAGGAAAGGGAGAGAAGAAATAACCCTATTTCTTACAGAAATAGATTATCCCAATTTATATGATATGTTTATACTATCCAATATTCAAAAACAGTGCCCAGATGAAAGGAAAGATTTTCAGAGAAATTTTCCTTAACTTGTGACCTAGGAAACCAAGGTCTGTGGGGGTAATGTTTATGTCAGAAAACCTAATTAGTTGCATATAGTGTTTTGGGAATCTAACCAGACAAACTAATGTCTTACTAGAAGAATTAGTGACAGTAATACAAAATTAAACGAGATAGTTGATTCATTATATATTTGGAAAGAACAAAGGGAATAAAAGTAAATTCTGTTTCTTAGGAAGGCTAAAGAAGTTGGAAGATGTTCTTTGTTGTGGGTATGTGACTCTGGGGATGGAACCCAGGGCCTTGTACAAGCTAGGCTAGCTAGCCCTCAACCACTGAGCCACAACCCCACTTAGAAGACCTTAATTATTCAGATTTTACTTAGCCAAATCATCACTAATGAGGTATTTGATTTTTAACATATTAGCCAAAGTATCTGTCACGTTAACTAAATCTTAATTTTCTTTAAATATGTCTAAACAGAATACCTCAGAGCATCATTTTGTGGGATTCAAAGGACAGTCCTGGTCAGGCACCAGTGGCTTATGCTTGTAATCTTAGCTACTTGGGAGGCTAAATTCAGGAGGATTGTAGTTTGAAGCCAGCCTTGGTTGAAAGAGCTCCCTTCTTAACCAATACCTGGTCTGGGATATGTACCTGTCATCTCAGCTATATAGAAGCCTGAGATCTGGAGTATCATGGTTCCAGGCCAGTTCTAGACAGACTTTTCAGTGGAGGAGTCCTTCTGTCAAGTGGGAGGCCCTAACTTCAAATACTACTACCGTCAAAAAGAAGAAGGGCTAGGAAGGTGGCTCAGTGGTAGAGCGCTTGCCTTGCATGCCTGAGGCCCTGGGATCGATTCCTCAGTACCTCATAAGCAAAAAGAAGCCGGAAGTGGTGCTGTGGCTCAAGTGGTAGAGTGCTAGCCTTGAGCTGAAGAGCTGAGGGACAGCGCCCAGGCCCAGAGTTCAGGCCCCACTACCGGACCCCCAAAAAACAAACAAACAAACAAAAAGAAGAAGAAAAAAGACAGTCCTTACCTTCTCCCTGTCTTTGGCCTCGTTTTCCCCTTTGAAGTCCGTGGCCTTTCTAATTTCATCAAAGACTGACGGAGACTCTCCTCGGTATAGGCAAGATACACATGGGAAAGGTCTACTTCAAAGGGCTAAAGGGAAGAAACAAACACAAGGCTCTCATAGGAAAGAGTTCAACCAGATTTGGGAGAAGACACAAACAAACATCTAGCAGAAAGCCACAGAACAGAGAAAACAAAACAAAACAAATAAACCTCTAAAAATATATTCAAGGCCGGGCGCTGGTGGCTCATGCCTATAATCCTAGTTACTCAGGAGACTGAGATCTGAGAATCAGGGTTCAAACCCAGCCTGGGCAGGAAAGTCCATGAGACTCTGTTTGTTTTTTTGTTTTTTTAGGTCCGGTCATGGGGCCTGAACTCTGGGCCTGGGCGCTGTCCCTCAGCTCTTCAGCTCAAGGCTAGCACTCTACCACTTGAGCCACAGCGCCACTTCCAGCTTTTTTCTTTTTGCTTATGTAGTGCTGAGGAATCAAACCCAGGGCCTCTGGCATGAAAGGCATGCGCTCTACCACTGAGCCACCTTCCCAGCCCCAGTCCACGAGACTCTTATCTCCAATAAACCACTCAGAAAACTGGAAGTGGCACTGTGGCTCAAGTGGTAGAGTGCTCACCTTGAGCTGAAGAGCTGCGGGACAGCGCCCAGGCCCAGAGTTCAGGCCCCACAACCGACCAAAAAAATAAAAATAAAATAAATTAAAAAAAAATATATATATATATGTGGGCTGGGGAGGTGGCTCAGTGGTAGAGCGTTTGCCTGAGGCCCTGGGTTCGATTCCTCAGCACCACATAAGCAAAAAGGAAAAAAAGCCAGAAGTAGTGCCGTGGCTCAAGTGGTACAGCGCTAGCCTTGAGCTGAAGAGCTGAGGGACAGCGCCCAGGCCCAGAGTTCAGGCCCCACGACCGGACCCCCCCCCAAAAAAAAAATATATATATATATATTTTTGTTGTTGTTGTTGTTGGTCGTGGGGCTTGGGCTTGGGCGCTGTCCCTGCACTCTTCAGCTCAAGGCTAGTGCTCTACCACTTGAGCTACCTCGCCACTTCCGGTTTTCTGGTGGTTTATTGGAGATAAGAGTTTCATGGACTCTCCTGCCTGGGCTGGCTTTGAACCGTGATCCTCAGATCTCAGCCTCCTGAGTAGCTAGGATTACAGGCGTAAGCCACCGGTGCCTGATTAAATATATATTCTTATCCCAAATCTACAATGTATTCACTAAGTTAAGTGAATCAAAAGCCCTGACACACCATACATTTCCTCTGTTATGAGGAAAAAACACTGCTGTTTCTTCTCAAGCTGGTCCTACCTCTTAATGTCCTGTAACTAGAACTACCTGTGGAAAGAAGGCAAACATGTGCAACTCTCTCACCATGACCCACAGAGGTGGTAAAGAGAGGCCTTAGAGTCTCCTCAGGTCATTCCTGTGGCAGAAATGATTAGTACACCCTCATGATAAGCCTGACTATGCACAACTGTACTAAATCCACCCCTCCCTTCATTCCCACTGTATAGCCCACCACTCTGTTCAGCACAACTGACTAGCAGGTGCCAGGCTGGTAACTCAACCATAATGACCCACATTCATATCAAGAAACAATTGTAATATGGTAATAAAAAAAGAAGTCTTACATCTTTCTCCTTTTTATCAGGTACTGGAGTTTGCTTCCTCATGTTATTTCCTGTGTAGGCGACACATTTCTTTAAAAATAAATAAAGAAGGAAAAGGGGGGGGGAAGAAATACCTTTATTCAACGAATTGGCTGTGAGGTATCCTGACATTTCACTAGTAAGATGTTAACTTGGATGCTGAGGCAGAAAGGAATTCAGAGGCCCTTTGGTCCCACATCACGCCTGACCCAGACCATTTCTACTAGCGGGAGTCAGTGTTACAGTTAGTGAGCAAAGCATCCTCCATGCTTTCCATACACAGGAATCTGGCTCATCCTCTGGACCACCTCCCACCCCCAGAGCACAGTCTCTAGTCCACAGGAGTGCTCCAAGAAGATTCCAGGAAAGGATGAAGAATACTCACTAGCTGCCATTCCCCTATGTCTTCATTCCAATGCACATAGTTTTCAATCATTTCCTTTTAAAAAAAAAAGTCAAAGATAGCCTATTAACATTACTGATATGTCAAATATGAAGTATTTATAGAACTATAGTGTTAGCTAAAAAAGGTAAGTCAACACACAAAATGCATGATACTTTCTTATACATTTTAAAGTATGTATTTCTTAGGAATATATTGTAGGCAGCATTAAACTACAAGAAAAATAAAGCAAGAAAATAAGAACCTGTGACTCATGATGGTAAGTGTGCTAGGTTAGAAAAGGCAAACTGAGGAAGAGGGTGGTGGAACCATTTGAGTAAAAGTAGCCTTTGTGCGTATGATAAGTTCACTACCAAGTAAGTAACTAAACAAAAGCAGACTATCCAAGGACCAATGATGACAGTGTACGAGACACTCAAGTAAATTGTTTGTCTCAGGTCCAAAGGAAATTTTTTCAGACAATTTCTAAAAGCTGTATTAAGATACAAGATAGATATTTTAAAAATATTTTAAAGTTTATGAACTAAAAAACAGAAATGCTGACTAAAAAAGAAGATGCTAAAATTATACTACTATCCAGAATTAACACCTTTTAGAGATGAATGCTGGGGACGGGTGAGTAACAACGTGTATGTACTTCAGGTTGCTCAACTGTGTACTTAAAGTGGTAAATTTTGTGTTATGTCTATTTGACTATACACACACATGAGAAGGAATTAGCATCCATGGGCAGGGAGAACTAGCTAGCATGGGGTTCTGCTTTTCCTATGTACATGATATAGGGTGCTGGATGAATGAATAGTACCTACACCTTGATTCTGACTGCATTTACATGAATCTGAGTTCCTCCAAAGGGCTGAGAAACTCTATTTAAATACTTAATATTCTCAAAAAGAGAATTATAAGGCAGGTGCCAATGGTTCATGCCTGTAAGCCTAGCTACTCAGGAGGCTGAGATCTGAGGATCATGGTTCAAAGACAGAGCAGGAAAGTCCATGAGACTCTTATCTCCAATTAACCATCAGAAAACCAGAAGTAGTGCTGTGGCTCAAGTGGAAAAGCACTCGCCTTGAGCTGAAGAGCTCAGGGACAGTGCCCATACCGAGAGTTGAAGCTCTATGACCAAAAAAAAAGAATTATATATTAAGAAAGTAAATAACTGAGACGAAATATGGTAGTATTTGTTCAAGAAAATGTTATAGATAATTGAATGTAAATAGACAGCATTAATTAAATTAAGAATTACATTTCCTTGTTCCTCAGCCCCAGTAAGTGATCTAATATCACAGAGACCTTTTCCCTTACCTGGTAATCCTGAGGTATAAAGTTATCAATAATTAGCATCTGAAGCCGAAGCTCCCGGCTAAGTTGCCGAATGTTCTCAAGTAGGCCTTCAATTTCCCTCTGATGTTCTTGTTGGAGATCAGCCATCTGCCAGAAAATTCATGAAAATGTTATGAGCAAATAAGGACAGTTTTACTTGACATAGATCACTTGTCTATGATGTCCTATGAGAGCTCACCCAAAAAATAGACAAAAAAGTTGAACGGTTATTTTGTAAGTATAGAAAACATATAGAGCAACACTATCACTATTTCAGGTTATTAAATTAGCTTAACAGATAATACTTAAAATGACACTTCTGATAAACATTTTCTTTATTGAAAGCAGGGGACTGGGAATGTGGCTTAGTGGTAGAGTACTTGCCTAGCATGCGCAAAGCCCTGGGTTCGATTCCTCAGGACCACATAAACAGAAAAAGCCAGAAGTAGCGTTTGGCTCAATCTATAGAGTGCTAGCCTTGAGTGGAAAGAGGCTCAGGGAAAGTGCTCAGTCCCTGAGTTTAAGCCTCAGGACTGGCTAAATAAGTAAATAAACAAATAAACTGTAAGCATATCTTTTCTAATTGAAGGAAAAATAACATCTTCCCATGATACAAACTAAAGAAATTCATGACCACTGGACCGCCACTGAAGAAGATACTTAAGGGACCCCTTTATACAAAAAGGAAGACAAACATAACCATGAAAATATGGAAAAGAATATATTTCAGATGAGCAGATAAGCAAATGAGGACTAGGAAGGAAACAGCATTACAAAAATAGCAAAATGAGGAAGTGACACTGTGGCTTAAGCGGTAGAGAGCCCACCTTGAGCTGAAGAGCACAAGGATGGTGCCCAAGCCCAGAGTTCAAGCCCCACAACCGACAACAGAAAAAGAAAAAAACATTTGGAGCTAGGAAGGTGGCTCAGTGGTAGAGCGCATGCCTTGCATGCAAGAGGCCCTGGGTTCGATTCCTCAGCACCACATAAGCAAAAAGAAAAAAGCTGGAAGTGGCGCTGTGGCTCCAGTGGTAGAGCACTAGCCTTGAGCTGAAGAGCTGAGGGACAGCGCCCAGGCCCAGAGTTCAGGCCCCACGACCAGACCCCCCCCCCAAAAAAAATAGCAAAATGAATTACTAAAACTTTCAATAATAACACCAAATGTAAATGGTCTTAATTCTCCAATTAAAAGCCAAGGACTGGAGGATCAGATTACTAAACAAGACCCAATCATTTGTTGCCTAGCAGAAATGCAGAGAGTAAGTAGCAAGGATTACAGGTGTGAACCACCAGCACCCAGCTGGAAAAGTATGGAGCCTAGATTCAGGCAGAAGTAGCTGTATTCATATCTGACAATGCAGATTCAAACCAAAATTAGTCAAAAAAGACAAAAGTTACTTCATATATTGATAAAGAGACAACTCACTGCAGGATACAACATTAGAATAAAACGTTAGATTCAAACCAAAATTAGTCAAAAAAGACAAAAGTCACTTCATATATTGATAAAGAGACAACTCACTGCAGGATACAACATTAGAATAAAAGTAGATTTCTCCACTGAAATTCTAAGAACAGGGAGGGCATGGAATGATGTATTCAAGTCCTGAAAGAACTGCCAGCCTAGGTTATCGTACTGAGCAAAGGCAGCTTTCATAATTAAAGGAGAGATGAAGAAACTTTCCTGACTGGAAAATAGTAAATACACATTATGCAGGGGTTATGCAGGTGTTCCTTTTTCTTTTCTTTTTGGTTGGCTGTGGGGCTTGAACTCTGGGCCTGGGCACTATCCCCGAGCTCTTCAGCTCAAGGTGAGCATTCTACTACTTGAGCCACAGTGCCACTTGAAGTTTTCTGGTGGTTTATGGAGCTAAGAGTCTCGCAGACTTTTCTACCTGGACTGGCTTTTAACTGTGATCCTCAGATCTCAGTTTCCTGAGTAGCTAGGATTATAGGTGTGAGCCACCAGTGCCTGGCCCATCCAGGGGTTCTTAATGGATTTTTTTTTTTTTGTCAGTTATGGAGCTTGAACTCTGGGCCTGAGTGCTGTCCCTCAACTCTTCAGCTCAAGGCAAGCACTCTACCACTTGAGCCACAGTACCACTTGCAGTTTTCTGGTAGTTTATTAGAGATAAGAGTTTCACAGCCTATCCTGACCAGGCTGGCTTTGAAGTGCGATCCTCAGATCTCAGCCTCCTGAGTAGCTAGGATTACAGACGTGAGCCACTGGCCACTGGCTCTTAATGGATCTTAATCAAAGGCACTGTTTCAAAATTCAGAAGTACATCAGACATTTGGGGATTATTTAATAATGACATGTACCAACCTCTGATTTTGCAGCCATCAGCATAGTCCACACTTTCTTTAATTTCTTGGTCTTTCCCTGTGCTTCTTCTTGTAAACTGGTATATTTTTCTTCAATATCCAAACGTTCTTGCTATGATAAAAATCGGTAAACTTTAGAATAATTTCCTTTGTTAAGTCACTTTAAAAAAATATATGTATATATGCGTGTGTGTGTGTGTGTGAAGTAACTACTTTATACTTTATTTTGGTGGGTCGTGGTGCTTGAGCTCTCGGCTTGGGCACTGTCCCTGAACTCTTCAGCTCAAGGTGAGCACTCTACCACTTGAGCCACAGCACCACTTCCGGTTTTCTAGTAGTTTATTGGAGTAAGAGTTTCACGGAGCTTCCTGCCCTGGCTGGCTGTGAACCATGATCTTCAGATCTCAGCCTCCTGAGTAGCCAGGATGACAAGCATGAGCCACTGGCACCCGGCTTACTACTTTTGTGTGCGAGTGGTACTGAAGTTTGAACTCAGAGCCTCCCACTTGCTACATGGGCGCACTATTTCTTGAGCCATGCCTTTTTTGCTTTAGTTATTTTTCCAGATAGGATCTTGTCTTTTTGCTTGGACTAGCCTTAAACTATTACCTTTTTCTCCTCTCCAGTACCTGGGATTATAAGCATGTTTGGTTTGTTTGTTGAATGGGAGGGGAGTCTTCTCCATAACTTTTTGCCTTAGCTGTGGTCCTCCTGACCTTTCCCTCCTGAGCAGCTGGGATTATAGGAATGGATCACTATACCCAGGCACAATGTTTCATAACTAGTATATTGAAACAAATCCATAAATTGCTTAAGATTGTCATTAAGATTATGGATATTTGGCTTTTTCACTGGAAAAGTTAATTAGAAAAATTATTAAACTTACCAAAAAGTCATATTACCTCTTTTTCCTCAAGCTCTCTGCGAAGCTGCTCTGCTCTTTTCCTCCTCTCTTCTAACTCCATATTAGATTCTTCAAGAAGTTTCTCTTGCTCCTCAGCTTTGGCCAACAAATCAACACCACCAACAATTACCTTCTTCTCCAAGGCAGATAATTTTTCCAGCAAAGACTGATGTTCTTGTCTATTAATTAAAATGAGAATACTCTAAACTCACTGATCATCTATTGTTTCTGCTAATATTTTCCAAAATTCAGTAAGAATTTGGGTGTATAATTTCAAAGTAGCAATATAATTTATGTGCCATCTCTACCAAATTATACCACTGTGTAGTATTATTAAGTTCATTACTGAACTATGATTTGAACTCATGAGTATTTTCCCCTCCCATACAGAGATTAGTTAAAACAGATTTAATGTTTAGAAATGTACAACGTACATTGGACTTTACACCCATGACTGGAGACAACTATCAAGCTTTTAACTATTATTCAATTTTCTACTTACAAATCCAACAAAAGACACTAGGGAGATTTGTAAATCCATCCCAACTCAACGATACTCACTGAGCTTTAAGAAGATCTTTTTCCCGTTTCTCTAATTCAGCTCTAGCCTTGTTTCTTTCTTCTTCTTCCATGTCAAGTTTTGTTTCAAGTGCTTTTCTCTCTTCGTCAATTTTTGCTTGCATCTCAACCATCTTATCTGGGGAAACTTTCTTTTTACCTATTTGAGTCATTTAATTGCCACAATCAATAAATCCATTCAGTGTTTCAGACACACAAATTATCTTCCATATAGACCTGCCTGTCTATACGCAATCATACAAAACCAATAGGTACTTTACCTTTCTTTCTTTCCTTTCTTTCTTTCCTTCCTTCCTTCCTTCCTTCCTTTCTTTCAGCCAGGCCTGGGGCTTGAACTCAAGGCCTGGGCACTATCCCTAAACTTCTTTTGCTCAAGGCTAGCACTCTACCACTTGAGCTATAGTGACACTTGCAGCTTTTTCTATGTCTGTGGTACTGAGGAATCGAACCCAGGGCTTCATGCATGCTAGGCAAGCATGCTACCATTAAGCCACATTCCCAGCCCCTAAAACAATATTATTTCTCATTTCTATTTATTATGATCCTAAATATGTTCAAACTGTTGCCCACTTGGTGCAGTAGTACTTAAGAACAACAACAACAAAAATCAGTGAAAGAGAAGCAAAATAATCGTGCAGAAATATAAGAACAATTAATAGGAAAGCCACAAAAAAGCAAATTTGTATATCCAAAATAATACACAGGCAAAAAAAAATTGCAATGTGAGTTTTCGGTTAGTTTTTCCTGGTAATTAAATACAAAGTCAAGTGGTTTCTTCAATTGTTAATATCTCCACCCAGAATCTAACCTCTGCTGATAAAAAGAAAAATATCTGAAAAATAATTTTGAAGATACATATGAATATACTCTTTCAGGAATCATGAAAGGAACAATTAAACTCCTTAAGACAATATATAAGAAATCTTAAGGGTTTAAAAGAGATTACCTTCATTTCTACAGAACTACAATTTTAAAACAAAACATAAGCCACGAAACAATCTAAAAAGTAAGTAAAAGCACTGATCCAGGTTCATGCTTTGGTTTGGTGTGATTCATTGCATTCCAAATCCGGATGTGATTCTATTGATTCATTGTTCACAGTTCCTTGTATTAAACCTTTTGAAATACATTGCTAAAAAAATAATCCTTACAAGTGATTTAATTCCTATTGTCAATGAATTATTAGAAAGAATTCCCCATCCATAATATGACTTCTTGCTGAATGTGCTAGCTCAAGCCTGTAATCCTAGCAGCTTTGGGAGAGATCAAAGGAAAGGACTACTGTTTAAGGCCAGGCAAGCCAAAAAAAGAAAACAAAAGTTCAAAGATTTCATCTCAACCAATGGCTGGGTGTGGTAGTGTGAGCAGAAGCATGGAAGAATCACAATCCAGCCTGAAGGGGAGCTGTGGATCAAGTGGTAGAGCACTAGCCTTGAGTACAAGGAGCTCGGGGACAGCACCCAGGTCCTGAGTTCAATCCCAGGACCTGCCCCCAAAAAAGAAAAAAAAAGAAGTATCACAATCCAGGCCAGCCCAGATGCAAAATGAGAGTCTATCTTAAAATTAACCAGCTCCCAAAGAGGCTGACAGAATGTCTCAAGAGGCAGAACATCTCCTAGCACGTGTGAGGCTTTGAGTTCAAACCTCAATACTGTCGAATAACAATAATGAAAATAATACCATTTCTTAGAAATATGAAGGAGAAAAGTGTAAGTTTAGATTTATAGAAAGTACATGCATGTTAAAAAGCTTCCACCTCTGAGTTACAAAATATTTAAAGAAAAGTGGAAAATATGCTGAAACATTCATCCATATACATACATATCTGTATATATATGGAATATTAGTAGGATAGAGGAAATACTGGGATCAACATATGAATACAAGCACTTTTAGGCTTTTAGGGTTTTGTTTTGTTAGTAGCTAAAATCATAGTTTCAAAATCCATTAAAAGGCAGTAAAATAAAAAGATTTTATGTGCAGAAATATAAAAATGCATGCCTCGGGGCTGGGAAGGTGGCTCAGTGGTAGAGCACTTGCCTTGCATACCAGAGGCCCTGGGTTCGATTCCCCAGCACCACATAAGCAAAAAGAAAGCCGGAAGTGGCGCTGTGGCTCAAGTGGTAGAGCGCTAGCCTTGAGCTGAAGAGCTGAGGGACAGCGTCCAGGCCCAGAGTTCAGGCCCCATGACCGGACCCCAAAAAAAAAAAAAATGCATGCCTCTTGGTGAATTAACTTATTCCATGAATTACATTAGGAATGCAAAACCATTCAGGCAATTTTTCCAAACTTATGCTTTAGCAGCAAAAATGTTACTACCCTATTATCTGCATGAAGACAACATGAATAGGTAGCTAGGGTAGTTGTAACATGTTATTGAAGTAATTTACTATGTCAGCCAACATCATGCTGACAAATTATTATGTCTTTGAATAACATTTTAAGCTAAATATATACCAACTTCCTACCCAGGCATGTAAAAACAAGGCATCCCTAAAAATCACTTGTTTGTTGGTTTGTTTTTTATCCTTTGGTCACTTGGATTATGGAAGCTTTAGCCTTCAGAAGGGAAGACATGTTAGAATCCTCAGGATGCTTTAATCTAGGAGCACAGGGACTCAGGGAGAATTCTGCACTCCGGGAGCGCAGAAGAGGACCTGCCATCTCAACCTTAAAAGGATTTTGATTCCTCAAATGAGAGAATTGAGTACATGCTTTTTCTTTTTGTGCCCCCACTATGGTCCTGGGCTTGAACTCAGGTCCCTGAGCTTTTTTTAGCTCAAGGTCACAGCTCTACTTCCAGCTTTTAGATGATTAATTGGATATTAGAGTCTCACCTCACAGAATTTCCTGCCGAGGCTGGCTTTGAACCCTGATCCTCAGATCTTAGCTTCTGGAATAGCTAGGATTACAGATATGAGCCACTTGCACCTGACTTTTTTTTTTTTTTGGTTAGTTGTGGGGCTTGAACTCTGGGCTTGGGTGCTGTACCTCAGTTCTTCAGCTCAAGGTAAATGCTCTACCACTTGAACCACAGCACCACTTTGAACCATGATCCTCAGATCTCAGCCTCCTAAGTAGGTAGGATTATACTGGTGCCTAGCACATAGGTATTCTTTTTTTTTTTTTTGTTAGTCGTGGGCCTTGAACTTTGGGCTAGGCACTGTCCCTCAGCTTTTCAGCTCAAGGCTAGCAGTCTACCATTTGAGCACAGTGCCACTTCTGGCTGTTTATGTGGTGCTGAGGAATCAAACCTAGGACCACATGCATGTGAGGTTAAGCACTCTACCACTGAGCCACCCACCTTCCCAGCCGCAACATATGTATTCTTTTTTGAATATTTTTTTGGGGGGGTCCGTCCGGTCGTGGGGCTTGAACTCTGGGCCTGGATGCTGTCCCTCAGCTCTTCAGCTCAAGGCTAGCACTCTACCACTTGAGCCACAGCGCCACTTCCAGCTTTTTTTTCTTTTTGCTTATGTGGTGCTGGAGAATCAAACCCAGGGCCTCATGCATGCAAGGCAAGCACTTTACCACTGAGCCACCCACCTTCCCAGCCCCAACATATGTATTCTTTTAAGATAAAAAGGGAAGGCTCAGTGGCAGAGCACTTGCCAAGCACACACAAGGCCCTTGGTCTCAATACCTGTTACAAAAAAAAAAAAAAAAGACAAGCAAACAAACTCTTCATATCAATCAAATGAATCAGTAAAGAAAAAAATCATAAACAAAAAAACCCTTCATTTTCTAAAACCACCTGATAAAATTTAGCACAAAATTTCAGACAAATATAGTCTAAGAAATAATGTCAAGAGCCACAAAATATTTAATCAAGCCAAATAGAAGTAGTAAACCCTTCAGTTGCTCTTTGTCCTATGCTGAGTAAAACTGTGAGGGTTAATTGGCAAGGAAGAGCCAGGGAGGAACTTCAAGGGAGTGAGAACTGAATTAGGCAACAGGCACCTGAGTCTTAGCCTTTAAAAATGGAGGAAAATGGCCGGGTACTGGTGGCTCACACCTGTAATCCTAGCTACTCAGGAGCCTGAGATCTGAGGATTGTGGTTCAAAGCCAGCCCAGGCCATGAGAGTCTTATCTCTAATTAACCACTCAAAAACCAGAAGTCGAGATGTGGCTCAAAGTAGTAGAGCACTAGCATTGAGCAAGAGAGCTCAGGGACAGCACCCATGCTCTGAGTTCAAGCCCTACAACCATAAAAAAAAAAAAAGGAGAAAGTGTTTGAAAGTCAAGTTACATTTGTATTTCCAGAATTTGATTTAATGAGTCTGTAAGAATTTAAAAAAACAAAATTTTAAAGTTGAAAGTGTTTTTTAACAATACAAAATATAAATACTTACCTTGTTAAAAAAATTAAAAATTGAAAGCATAATGTACTTAGCTAGTGAAGTTCTTTGTAAGTAATAGTACCAAGTGGAGTGCAAATCAATCACACCAACCTGCTTGATCTTGCAATAAGAAGTGGTAAGCAAATCGCAGACAGGAGCACAGAGATGAGGAGGGAAAAAAAAGGAAAACATTATTTCCTTTGTAAAACAAAGAAAATGCATATAATAGCATTCTTTTGTAGTGTCAGTACAGAAATAAAACAAATCATTATCAAAACTGAAAGTGTTCACTTAAAAACAAAAAGAAAGCATATTCAATGCAGTGAGAGGTAGAATTTAAGCAAGAGTGTTAAGATTAGTCTAAGATTACAACTCAGTGCAGAGATTACACTGACTCCCAACCCCTGGAAATGGAGCAACTCAGCACCATGTGGTTATGCTAATGGCAGACATGGAATTGGGAATCTGCGAAGACCTGACAAGTCATCTAAGACAGCAAAGCAGAGAATTAGGCCAATATCAAAAACTAGTAAATTAAAAGGAACGAAATCCACATTGTTCATTTCCAAATTCATTTCCCAATTCAATGTTTCTTCAAACATAAAGATCCATTACAGGTGTCCACCATTTTAAGAAAGCCCAACAGTAAAATTTTGAAACAACTAAATGAACAAATTAGTTTATAGCAATTTGCACTAGATATAACTTGGTTAACAAAACAACTTAACAAAGAATTTTTTTTTTTTGGTGCTGTTCCTGGGGCTTGAACTCAGGGTCTTGGCACTATCCCTGAGCTTTTTAAAAAAATTTTTTTGCTCAGGATTGGTGCTCTACCACTTGAGCCACAGCTCCACTTGCAGCTTTTTTGGTGGGTAATTGGAAATAAGAGTCTCATAAACTTTCCTACCTGGGCTGGCTTCAAACAATGATCCTCAGATCAGATCTCAGCCTCCTGAATAGCTAGGATTATATACATGAGCCTCTGGTACCCAGTTTAACAAAGAATTTTTAAGGACAGCTGGCTCACAAAGTATTTGAGATTTCCAATTTGATTTATAAGCGTTTTTTTTTTTCAGAAAAAAAAACATTTGTTACATACATAAAATGAAGTACACCTGTATAATAACAAACTTACATTCAACCTATTAATAGACTCTCAAGGGCAATTATAACAATGAATCTATAAAAGTAAATGACAAGTGATGATTCAAGCAAGGGACACCTAAAAGGTCATTCATATATTTACAGGAAGGGTATGAATACACAGTTACATACAGCTACATACAGCCACCACATGCTGGGACCACCACCTCTTCACCAACACATCCGTGTCTCCACCAATAAAAGGTTATATGCTGGATATGTGAACAGCAGTTAAATTTTCTTGAATTGATAGCCTACTTTCATATAACTACCTTATCACAGTGGTAAGCTTTAAAATAGAAAAATGAGTTACAATGCTTCAAACTCAGACAGACATTCCTCACATTTCAGTCTACAAAATAATGCAGATTATCCTTTGAAATGAATTCTTTTGGAAACTTGCTTAAGAATTATCAGTAGACAAAAGTTTTATTATTCTTGAAATTCTTCTTCTAGAAAGCTAAAACAGTAAGAACAGTAAACATTGTTTTAATTAGTTTTGGAGAAGGTGAATACATAGATAATGCTCTAAAAGACAGTAAGCTGCAAACTGGTAGAAAAAAGCATCATCTCCCTTTTCTTCTGTAAATAAAATACTGATAAATAAAATTAAATAATTTCAACTTAATTGAGGTTTACAAAAAAAATCCTTTATGTTTGAAGAACATCTAGATAGATCCATTGTAAATTTCTTCATGTGATTGTGAGTTCTAATCTCATCTTAGACAATTTTTAAATCTATCAGGTTAAGTCAGAAATAAGGATAAATGTCCATTTGAAATAAAATACTATTCAATTGATATTTCCTTGCTAGAAACTTCACATCTTTGGGAGCATTCAATCTTAAGCCACTGCTAAGAAGTGGACACCAAGATGTAAAATGTTTCTAACTGTACCCTGTGTTGGGCACAGATGCACCACTAAATGTAATTTGTACTTTTAGACATTCAGGATCCGTTGTTAAATGTCTTTTGTACTGAGCAGAATTAAAAATGTTTAACACAAATAAAAAATAAGAAATATTCTTTCATACAGCTTACTAACTCTCTTTACATTATCTCAACTGCAGAAGCATGAATCTCTCTTCCATTGTCTCAAACATAAGCTCAAGCATATGTTTCAACAATTATGGTTAACAGGAAGCAATGAAAGGGGTGGGGAGTTGTCACATGCTTTGTTCTACTGGGACGTCCAACATGTATTCGTCAAAATGACAGGCAGCGGTGTAGCATTTCTCAAATGAAGCCCATGGATTATGGAAAAGCCCAAGCTCTGTTAGAGAATTGAAGAGCTACCACTCACTAGGCAAGAACTTATCCAGAGGTTTCTCTATGACAGAACATGTGGAGTCTGAACTACTGCTGCTGCTACTGCCTGGAAGACAAAGAAGTGAGCCCAATGGAAACCAAAGAGAGAGGAGACAAGAACATGAACACACATACAGAGAAAAATTCAGTTCTGGAGACGGAATTTTAAAGAACAATCACACTTTTTTTTTTTAGGGGGGGTGGATTGGTCTTGGGCTCTATTCCTGAGCTTTTTTTTTTTTTTGGCTCAAACACTTGAGCCACAGCTCTACTTCTAGCTGCTGCTGCTGCTGCTGCTCCTCCTCCTCGTCCTCCTCCTTTTCTTCTTCTTCTTCCTCTTCCTCCTCCTCCTCCTCTCTTGGTGGCTAATCAGAGGTAAGAGTTCCACGGACTTTCCTGCCCAGGTGGCTTTGAACCAAGATCCTCAGATCTTAGCCTCTTAGGTAGCTAGGATTACAGGCGTGAGCCACTGATGTCCAGCCGCCAATCAAGCTTTGTATTCAAGAATCAAAATTCACTTTCCTTTAAAATCAGTCTTGGGAGTAGTCCATCTATCTATATTCATTACTTCATAAAGCTATATGCAGAAATTAGAAACTGAATTTCTTTAGATTCATAGTGGACAAATACTATGACTCAACTAAACATAATTATTCAGAGTTGAAGTGAAGAGAATAAAAAAGGAAATAGGTCATTTAGTGAGATCTAAGTCTCTCTAATAAGATAAAGGAACAAAGTTTGAAAACTCCAAGTCAAACGTAATTAATGTTGTAGTATTGATAAATTGCCCCTTGTCATGAACAAGATGGTATAACCCCAATTTTCCTCTCTCTCCTCAATAAATCAAACTGTCAAATGTAAGTATTTAAGTTTAAAGTTTGACAGCAAAGGCGCACTGAAAATTTTTAAATTTCTCAACCTAGAAGGAAAGCATGTTACCTTTCAATATTAAAGAGACGCACTTTTTCAGCTTAAATTTTATTTTTCATAATTCTACTATCTGTACTACCTTTGAGAAGGCCAGTGTACTCTATGAAAAACTAGGTATGAACATAAATTCATTTCTCTCAGCCAGAGGTCTGCAAATGGTTCCCGCAACAGGATAGCTAGTGTTTTTGGCTTTTGTGAGAGTAGCCACAGACATAGGTAAACAAATGGACATGGCTATTTCAATTTCATGGATAAAAACAGGTTTGGGCTAGATTTGTATTTTGCAAACTCCTGCTCGAAAGCACGCTTTTCCTATCTTTTGAATGTAAAGAATCTCTACAGTTTTTACATTTGGGGCTCCTGATCAAGTAGTGATGGGCTTATGTTCAATAAGATCATTTAGATAAGACAAGCAAATATGCACCAGATTGAAAACAATGATCTACATGAATGGAAGAGAGTTCTGAAATAAATACTTAGGGTAAAAGGTTGGAAATGTAGGCTGACATAATATACCCATCTCTTTTGCAAGTTATCAACATCTTTTAGCACAACAGGCTTTTTTGTTTTTTTTTTAATTTTTTTTGGGGGGGTCCAGTCATGGGGCCTGAACTCTGGGCCTGGGCGCTATCTCTCAGCTCTTCAGCTCAAGGCTAGCGCTCTACCACTTGAGACGCAGCGCCACTTCCGGCTTTTTTCTTTTTGCTTACGTGGTGCTGAGGAATCGAACCCAGGGCCTCTGGCATGCAAGGCAAGCGCTCTACCACTGAGCCACCTTCCCAGCCCCACCATAACAGGTTTTATGATACCTGTTAACACATAGCCCATAATAGGGTAAGCATGAGAGCACATTTGATTATTATAGTAAATAATCTAATCCTCATTCAAATTTATTATTTGAAATTTCAAAACATAAAACAAAACCCACACCATATGGTACTGAGTCAACTTCTAAAGAGGAGATCAGTATAAGATAAAAACACTGCAAAGCTAAACAGTTATATGGCATACATCCTCTGCTCAAGTTGCTACCATAACTAAAACCAGCAAAATCCAAAGCATGCACTAGGTAGCAACCCTGGTGAATTTCTACTGGTTATGACATGAAACAAAACTTACCCCTTCTCTTTTTCCTTTTCTCTCCATCTTCTCCAAGTTCACCTTCTTCATCTTCATCTTCTTCTGACCCACTGATATCAGAGCCTGATATTTCTTCCCCTTAGATAGAAATTTAACACAATCGTTTTAGTCTATATGGTGTCATTAGCTATTGAGAAAATGCCTGCATTTTTTCTTCATTAAAATTTTTGGGGGCTGGGAAGGTGGCTCAGTGGTAGAGCGCTTGCCTTGCATGCATGAGGCCCTGGGTTCAATTCCTCAGCACCACATAAGCAAAAAGAAAAAAAAAATTTTTGTTGTCCCAAATATGAATTTAAATGTTTTTTAAATGTTCCTAAGTAGTATATCATATAACCTAATCTGAGAACTAGATAAAAATAGAGACTTTATTTAAAAATAAAGATTTTTTTCCCCAGTGCTGGGGCTTGAACTCAGGGTCTGGGCATGGTCCCTGAGCTTCTTTTGCTCCAGGCTAGCACTCTACCACTTGAGTCACAGCGCTACTTCTGACTTTTTCTGTATATGTGGTACTGAGGAATCAAACCCAGGTTTCACGCAGGCAGGGCAAACATTCTACCACTAAGCCACATTCCCAGCCCAAAATAAAGATTTTTTTAAAGGCCCTAAAAAGAAGTTAAGTTTTAATTTAAAATTTCAAATCATACTGGGCGCTAGTGGCTCACACCTGTAATCCTAACTAGTCGTGAGACTGAGGTCTGAAGATTGCGGTTCAAAGCCAGCCTGGGTGGGAAAGACCATAAGACTCTTATCTCCAATAAACTAGCCAGAAAAGCCAGAAGTGGTGCTATGGCTGAAATGTTAGAGCACTAGCCTTGATCAAAAGAAGCAAAAGAAACTCAGGGATAACACCCAGGCCCTAAGTTCAAGTCCCAGGACACACAAACACACACACACGAAAAATAAATGGATTCTACAAATACACACAGCCAACATCAGCATAACTGAGAAATTAAGAATCTTATATTGGCTATAAATACCACCTAGTGGTCATACTTAAAGCACTGAAATTCATCATCTAAGATACAGTTCACTCATTGCCTTTCTTCAATAACCTTACTCTAGTTTATTGCGCCAGCGAGGTCTCCAGGCATTTGTGAAGAGGCCAGCATCTCTGGGTCCTGATGATGCAACCAGCTTCCACACAGGCCAGTAGGTGTCTCTGTTTCACTGGCTTGCAGAGGCTCTAGCATCAGAAGCCCCTCTTACCCCGTGTGGCAGTGCCAGGAGGGCCTCAGGACCTACCAATGAACTGGGAAGTTCTCGCTCTCATGAAGAAGACTTACAAACCTTTCCAACCTGCTAGCACTATTTTAGAAAATAATTTCCAAAATAGAATTTCATGTTCGAATTTCAGTATGAAAGCGTAAGTATTTCATAGCCTTAAGTGTATAAAGCCATGAAATGCAATTTCACTTGCAGCAAAGTAATTTACTCATAACTGTCTGATACCTTCTTATACTCCAAACAATAGAAATATATTAATCACAAAGCAGAATTCTGGTCATTTGCTTCTGAAAAACATGTAATTTGTTGTTTGTTTGGTTTTTTGGCCAGTCCTGGGGCTTGAACTCAGGGCCTGGGCACTGCCCCTGAGCCTCTTTTGCTCAAGTCTAGCGCTCTACTGAGCTACAGTGCCACTCTTGGTTTTTTCTATTTATGTGGTGCTGAGGAATCGAACCCAGGGCTTCATGCATGCTAGGTAAGCACTCTTCCACTAAGCCACATTCCCAGCCTAGAATTTGCTCTTATACACAAATAAAAATTCATTATTTAACAAGTGACCATAAAAATCTACAAAAGGTTATGGGGATCAAAATGGCAATTTTAATTTCAAAAAAAATTTTTTTTGTCGGTTGTGGGGCTTGAACTCTGGGCCTGGGTGCTGTTCCTGAGCTCTTCAGCTCAAGGCTAGCATTCTACCACGTGAGCCACACTTTTCCAGTAGTTAATAGGAGATAAGAGTCTTCACAGACTTTCCTGCCCAGGCAGGCTTTGAACTGTGATTCTCAGATCTCAACCTCCTGAGTAGCTAGGGTTACAGGTAAGAGCCACTGGCACCCGGCTTAACCCATGTTTTAATAACATACACAAATATTGTATTATCTTACTTTAGTATAACAAAAATGTTAAAGTATGTAGGTACCAAGTTACTTTCTAGATTTTTTTTCTATTTTTTTGTTCAGTGCTAGAGATTGACACTCAGCCCTTGTACATGCCAGGCAAGTGCTCTACCACTGAGCTACGTCCCCAGCCCAGATATTTTGATATTCTTCCAAGTACGAATGATTGAAGCTCAAAGGGCATTTAATATTAGTTTCTGTTGGAACATTTTGTAGTCAGCCAACACATTTATAGCTGACATTAAGATTAATACTTCACAAAGAACTTACCTTCTTCAAGCTTTTTCTTCAATTCCTCTATTTCTTTCTGAAACTGACGAAGCAGAGCATCCTTTGGATCTTCATTAATTCTAGCTTTGTTTTTAATATTCTTAGCACGGTTGGCATACCGTAAAGTACTGATAGTTTCATCATAATTGTAATCTGCTGGCCCAATATTTGCACACTGTTAAATGAGAAATACAGATAGCTTTACGCTACCATTAATTAATACTACTTTTATAAGTATATCAAAACAATGTTTGAAAAAATACACATGTAATTTGACCTTTCTGAAAAGAATGTTCACTGCATAGGTTTCTAAATGACAGCACTGAAGGCTAAGACACATGCTATATTACAAAAAGAGAGCCACAAATCAAAAGAGTAAAATAACATTTTAAAAATTATTTTGCTCTTTTGATATGTGCCTCTCTTTTTGTAATACAACATAAATGTTATTCACATTAGTATGGGCATAAATTAGAATCTTAAATTTGCCTGAAATGAACAATACCATGAATTAAGTCTTACCATCATGGTTTTTGAGTTTCCGCCTAAGGAATCCTGAAGAAGACGAGTCAATTTAGAATTACGATAAGGCACATGAGTGCTTTTGCCATCTACCAAAGCAGAAATCACATTACCCAGCGTGGAAAGAGAAAGATTGATTTTTGTAGCTTCCTTTAAGCGCTGTCCTGTAGCTCCAGTTTTTGCTTGTCTTTCTGAACCCTAGAAATAAACAGAGATAAAACTAAAAAAACAACAGAATATTCATGTATGTATATGTGTGTGTGTACTGGGTCCTGAAGCTTGAACTCAGCACCTGAGTGCTGTATGTTAGCTTTTGTGAACAAGGCTAGTGCTCTAACATTTGAGCCATAGCTTCATTTCAAGCTTTTTGGTGGCTAAGTAAAGATCAGAGACTTATGGACTTTTTTGCCTGGACTGGTTTCAAACCACGATCCTCAGATCTCAGCTTCATGAGTAGCTAGGATTGTAGGTTATAAGCCACAAGTGCCAAGCAACAGAATATTCTTTTTTTTTGCGGGGGGGGGTCCAGTCATGGGGCC